CGGAGAATTAATCACGGATCCAGTTCTAAAGATAAGGTTAGAGTGACACATTTTTTATTCGGGATACACAAGTAACACTGTTCCCCACCACTGGGGTACAGTGTTACACATACTGGGGTACAATGTTACAGTGAAAGTTAGAATGGAGTACCTATGATGTTTTATAATAAACAACAGTTCCTTATGAAATTTTTATTTAAAAAATATGTAACATAAATCAAAAACACATTTACTCAACTTTAACTACGACCTAAAAATAATAAGTGATAGTAAGTTAAAGTTATTTTAAAGTAATATAATATTGACCGAGGTCTACTGAGAAAGTTAACATCTCGGATCGCCTGGCTGTTCCTCCAGATGGTTTTGGAGCAGGCAATTTTGCTAGAACCTTGACCAAGTCGAAAGAATATTCTTCAAGAGTACGAACAAATTTGAAGGTTGGATGTAATCGACGGATATATACCACATTAATTTCGGTATCACTTTTATTTTTTATTAGCCCTACCGACATAACTTCGTGTCCCTTCGTAATCCCTTCTTTTATGAGAACATAATCTCCCTTATTTAATTCCATTTCCTGATGAAAATCTATCTGTTCCACATCATCGCTGACAAATGAGCCAACACTTGCGTCACTTTCTGCACATGAAAAATGTGAATCTTCTGATGAAGAATCTTGTTGAACTTTTTTCTGTAATTTTGATTTTTTTGATTTGAATACGTTTCGGGTAGCTTTGTTTTTACGACTATTTATGTCTGCAATGATTTGATCTTTGATTGGAGTTTCAGTGAGAATCTCGCTTTTGCGTTTCCGGGTTTTTTTGTTTTTCCTTTCGGATGCTTTTGGATGAGGTCGAACGTCTGTGGGCATCACAAGACAAGTAGAATTTTTACTTGACTGTACCATAACAGAGGACTGGGAGTGTCTTGAAGTAGATGGAATCGGAGAATGTGGCGGAGTAGAATGTAAAGGTGGCTCCAATTCATCGTCTCCTTGATTTCCTAAATTTTCGATTTCTTCTTTCACATTAATAGTCTGATCTAAAGATGGCTGTGGTCTATCTGTAACAGCTGACGCCAAAAAATCATCATCTGTATAGATGTCTCTATTTATTGGCCAAATTCCAGTACATCTGAATCCATTTACAATATTATTGGGAGTGAATGCTAATGGATACGCTCTACCCAGCAAACCAGCAACTTCATAAATTGTTATGGTCTTTCCAGGATTCATGACCATCCAATCATTACAAACTTTATTGAAATTTGTCTTGTATACCGTTTTATCAAGCGGCTGAAGTTTTCCACTAGTGTGAGGTGGTAGGGTCAAAAGAATTATACCGTTGCTTTTATAAAATTCTAAGGAATCAATGGTTATGTGTGACTCGTGGTTATCCAGTATGAGAAGTATGGGCGCCTCTTTAGCAGCTTTTACAAAACGTTGGAAATGTTTTAAAATATCCACGAAAACTTCTCCATTGACCCATCCAGTTTTTGCAGCCGAACCCCCCAGTTCCCGGAGGGGCTCCTGTTAACATTCTATCTTTAAAATGTACGCGTGGGAACACCAAAAATGGAGGAACCGAATTTCCGGTTGCATTAATGAAACAACAAGCAGTCACCAATACACCTCTTTCGCCAGATGTTACTTGTCCAATCTGTTTTAAGCCTCTTTGTCCAATTATATTTGGATGATTATGTACCGTTGTTAGGGCTGTTTCATCCAAATTATATATATTTTCTGGAAATGGACCGTTTGGAAATTTATCGTATGCTTTGTATAAATTATTATAAAATTCGTCTACAGTAGTTCGATTGAAACTTGTTGCTCGCCCAAGACTTGTGGCTTCAGGTTTCCTAAGTGATAGTTCTGGATAACGCTTCATGTAACCATATAACCAATCTATTCCAGCTTGTTGACGTCGTTGCCACGAATCTGGAATTTTCAAATTATTTCTTATGGCAAGTTGGTATGCTAGATCCATAACATTTTTTCTTGTTAATCCATGGTGCATTTTGCAAGCTTCAATGAGGTAAGTCTTTAAAACATCCTCTAAATTTTTGGGAAATATTTGATTCACTTTATAATTTGGCTCAAACCTGAAATTTTCCCTATTTTCTTCTGAACACTGTTTATATTTGTCCACATATCTTTTTAAGGTCATATGTACCAAATTTTAAGATGCAGCAACTGACCTGATCGATTTTCCATTATTAATAACTTCCAGCACTGCACGCTTCATTGTTTCTCCATCAAATATAGCAAGTTTTTTTCTTCCTTTCGGTTTCGCACCATTTTGAAAATTTTCTGAAAATAATAAATAATAAAGAAATGTTTTAGAAACAAGCAAGTCATCATCATTCTCGCAATTTAAATGTTTTTTAAAATAATGGGGTACAGTGTTACACTGTCACACTGTGCCCCACTGCTGGCTGTAACACTGCGCCCCATATATCGATTTCACAAAGAAATTGGTCTCACATCAACATCAATTTTTTTTAGGTTAAATTTGGCACTTTATTAGAGCTATATCATCCTACATTAAAATTATGTCTAACCAAATAAATTCTGATATGAACCAGTTTTGAGTAGAAACAAAAATTAGTAACTGTCCTTATTTTACATTAGGGTTATAAAAATGAATACTTACCGATGAAACAATCAAAACACTTCCGAAGTTGATGCAAACACATCGGGGCATCGAACGTAACTGAAACTAGCTTTGACTTGAATGGCACCGGCGTTATTCGAGTAATGACGTCACGGCATTAAGTTTAACACTGTACCCCCTCTTCCCCTATGTCGGATAAAGTGATTTATAACCTGCACAAAACATTCGGTGTTCATCCATCCTCCCTTAGTAGCTAACCCTAGAGTCCCTGGTGGAGCTCCGTTTGTCATAAAGTCTTTAAAATGGACACGCGGGAAAATCATAGCCGGGGGAATAGCTACACCTGAGGCCCTAACTATACAACAGGTTGTTACAAGAGTTCCACGTTCGGCACTGGTTGCCTTACTGACTTGCCGAACACCTTTACAAGCAAACACCTTTTGTGATTTCTGTACTGTTTGCGTCCCGGTTTCATCTAAATTGAAAATTCTGGTTCCATCTCCAAATGCAGGATGACGCTGTAAGACTTCTTCTAGTTTATTAAAAAAAGACTCCACATTAAATTTATTAAATGCAGTGGCTCTTGATAAACTGCAGCCTTCTGGGGTTCTGAGCGCTAAGATGGGGTGTTTTTTTTGAAAGCCCTTTACCCAGGCAAGGGATGCTGACTGGCACGCATGCCATTTCTCAGGAATATTTATTTTATTTCGGATTGCGCATTCATACACTAACCGACGGGTGTCATCTCGAGAGAGTCCATAAAACATTTTTGCACATGTAATAATATAACCACAAATTTCATTCTCTTGCTCTGAAGTGAAAAATTGATTGACTGTATAGTTTGGACACATTCTAACATCAGGATCGTTTCTAAACTTTTGAACATATCTGGCAAGAGTCTGAAAAGACAAGCCTTTTTCTCTAGCGGCTTGACGGATACTCATTCCTTGTTGGACTAAAAGAACAGCTTCTCTCATTGCTGTGTCACTAAATCGCCCCACTACCCTGTCTGTTTTATTCTTTCTTGGCATTACTATTGTCTGTAATAAAAATTATACCTGGTCAGTAATGCCGCTATGCAATAAGTAACACTAAGACATGCATTAGGAACACTGAGACACGTCTCACTGTTCCAATTATGACTAGTCTCATTGTTTTTTATAAATACTTTTCACAAAATATTAAATCTTGAATTTACGAGCTAAAAACTATAGTCATGTGCTACTACGACACTAATAAACACTTCTAGTAGACTTACCTTGTTTAAATTGGTATTAACCAGGAAACATTCTAATTCAAAGAGGGCTAATAAATTTCCTTTGTCACACACTAAACTGATCATCTGTTACTGCTTTTTTACTTTATCAACTAAATTGCATCTGATGTATTGAGAGCCCTCTGTTGGTTGGTAGGGTTACTATTCAATGGTCTGCATCATCCAAATACAGATACCTTTTGACAAAACTATCATGTCTCAGTGTTCCAGCCGTCTCACTGTTACTACCTCTCCCCTATATCTAATTTTAAACTTTATCGATATATAAATATTTTCTGCAGACAATTTACCATTCAGGTTTCAAAATTATGTAAAGTTAACATATTTTATGAATTTTTTGATGGCATTTTAGGTTTTAACAATTTCATAAACTTGATTATAAACTTTACTCAGCAATAGTTAATAGGTCATGGTTTTGAAATAATATTTTCTTCTGCAATAATATATTATTTAAATTTTCCAATTATAAAAATAAATGACAAAAAAATAATTTAGAGACATTTCCTTCTTTATTAAATAAAAATATATCAAGTTAATTTCATCTTTAAACCCATAAAAGGTATAATATGTTTTGAAACAAAACTACATAAACTTTAATTTTTAAAATATTAATAATACCTAATCTAGAAAAAAACAACCATAATTCATATACTAACTTTTTCATATTTTAGAAAAAGAACAAGATTTAAAAACTATTACTACTTTAAAAGAAAAAAAAAATCATATTTCTAATATTGCTTAAATAAAAAAAAAATAATAAATTAGATGAAAAAAATCTAAATATTAATCTCATTTTCAACTCTATTCTAATAAAAAAAATTGCAAAAATTAAACTAATGACTACTTATTAAAAAAAAAACATTAAAAAATATGACACATTTAAGAATTTATAAAATGCTCCAATAGATGATGTCAAAATATATTGATTTTTTTAAACTACATATTAATTTTACTGAAGTTTTAACTAATGATCAAACAAAAGAAGAAGAACAACAACAACAACAAAAAAAAATTAAATATATTGACAAATTTAAGAAAATTAATCAGTAGCAGTGCTACTTCTACATTTTTCAGCTCTTCCTTCTTCAATTCCACGTCCAACTGTGCAAGTGTCATTTTTTTTCTTCATGAATTTCCTCTTCCCTCCTGTCTTGATTTTGTCTTAATCTGACTTCTTCCACTAATTTGGCTTTATTTTTATAATAAAGTTCTTTGGCAAGACCAAGTGAACTTACTTTAGCTGGTCGCAACTTTTGTGAGATTGGTTCTCGCAATGTGTTTGTTGTGTAGTTTTCCCACACACGCTTAGGTGTTTTATTAGGAGTCTATAATATAAAGTAAAATATTAGTATTAGGAACTATTAAGTCTTTTGAAAACATTAAATACTAACTACAAAGATTTGAATAAAACTATTAACTAAAAAATATGTGAATGAAATTCAATAATAAAAAATGAAGAAATGAAAGATTATAGGCGAGTGATGATTTCTAATTGAAAAAAGCTTTTATTTATAAAAGTAATCTATTTAATATGTACATTATACTATTCAGTAATTATTAATTAGTTTGATTATTTCATTAGAGAGTACCCAATACTTGGAAACACATGTTATTTATTACTATAATTTTGAAAATACATTTGCAACATTTTTCACAAAGGCGGATGGGTCGTAGTAAGGATAGGTTGGTTTCGTTCTATTGATAACTCTACCAAAGAACACGAAGTTCGGTGTCAGTCCAGTGACATGTCTGGCTGATCGGATGGCACAACCTACTTTTGGTAGATACGTCTCCCAAGAAGGATGGTGTCCATTCACATAAGAGGCTAGCATGGTTTTAACTATCCTATGCATGCGTTCCACAATATTAGGAGCTGCATGGTACAAAGCAGTCTAGGATAGTCTAATGCTATACTCGGCTGCTTTTTCTCGGAAAAGCTTACTTTTAAATTGTTGACCATTGTCAACGACACTTTGATCAGTTGCACCATACACCAGAATAACTTGTTCTTCAAGTATTTTTGTTATTGTTTGTGCAGTACTGTTTCGCAAAGGAAATAGCAAAGTATACTTGGAGAAATAATCACAGGTCACAACTTATGACCTGCCATGACAGTGTTTTACTGAGCATATTTCCTATAGGTGGTTTTTGCTCGTTTTATTTTTAAACAAATTGTACATCGGCGAATATAATATCCGATGCCATTTTTGGCCAATAATATAAGGCGGAGATTCGAGCTAGTCTTGCTGATCCCCAAATGACCCATGATTGGAGGATCGTGAAATTTATTAATAATCCCCCGTCTAAATTCTTTTGGAACTACCGACAACCATTCCGACCTACCGTCAGACAGATATTGGTACCTAAGGGTGACGTGTCGATATCATTTTTTACCTTCTTCACAGTGGGTATTGATCAGGCTGCATCGTAACTCTCTGAATCATGGCGTTGTACCAGGTATCATTAACAGCAGGGGTAGTATCTGCGTCGATTGCTGCAACTGCAGGAACCGACCGCGAAAGTGCATCAGCGACAAGGTTATCCTTGCCTCTTCTATGGACTATTTCAAAATCATATTGCTGAAGGCGACGCAGGACCCATTTAGCAATACGTCCTACTGGGTCTTTAATAGTAAAGAGCCATTTGATGCTGTAGTGGTTGGTGACGACAGTAAATCGTATACCTTCCACATACGGCCTTAACTTTTCGGTGGCGAAAAGTACTGCCAAACACTCTTTTTCGGTGACGGTGAATTTCCGCTCTTATCTTGTCAAGAACCTACGCAGGTAACAAATCACCCTTTCACCATCTTCCTGATTTTGTAATAAGACTGCGCCCAGACCATAATCACTGACGTCAGTCTGTATGAAAAAAGGTAGGTCATAGTTAGGATAAGACATTTTCTTATGGCGAGTTCTTCTTTGTGACGACGAATAAAACCATTGTAACATGCTTCACCCGGTACATTATTTTTAAATTTGGGCACAGTACGTCCAAGTTTGGACAAATATTGGTGTTTACAAGCATTCTGACTTCGAAAGAATCTAAAGGCATGCCCCATCTGCGCATGTTAATATATGTTTCCTCATACATAGAAAATATCAACGGCCCTTTGTGTGTTTTTGGAATACTTTATTACTCAAAGTTTTTTTTGGTATTTTATATTTAATGGATGCTTGCAGTATCGAAAAAATTCTATTATTAACATCATCTATTGCTTGCTGTAATAAACCTTCTGAATAATTCACATGACTTCTATTCCCAATTTTTTCGTATATATACGCGGCATCTTTCTGCAATAAAATATTTTTTTGTTAAAAACAATTATTCTATATTTTTGACGTTTTTATGCAAACGGACAAAATTGCCATTCCATGGGCAAAGTCAACTTTATATGGGCACTCTATTTTTATTAGTAATTTGCCCATCTAAATATTTTCGAAATGTTAATATTCTTTAAATTCTAATATAGGGGAGCGTGGTCTATGATGGGACACTTTTCAATATTTTATTTTTTTCAGGCGCATATTTTACTTTCTTAAAGGTTTAAGGGTATCAAATAATTGCTTCGGATATTCTTAATTATGTGTTATTTGAGATTTTATATAAAATTAAAAGTAAAGAATATATGATGGTTGTACCAGTATGAACCATTTGTCCCAGTATAGACCAATACATGTTCATAGTGGGACCTCTATTGGTTCATGATGGGACACGTACGGTCTATGCAGGGACTAATGAAATTTAGATACCTCTGGAGTATCAATCTTAAAAATATTTAAAATATTTATTTGCAATCAAACTTAGTACAAAACAGAACATAAATTTATGGCACAATATAGAATTCTTAGGATTCAAAACATATTATATTGAGAAAAATCACATTTAAATTGTAACTGACGTGCTGAACGTTTTGTTGAACCTATTGCAGAAGGTTTTGGTAAACTCCTGACAATATTTTCTTGTGCTATGGTATCAATATCCTCTTTTTCGGGATATGCAAAACTATTACCTAGTACTTTACGAAGAAAAGAAACCACTTATTCGCCGTTTATAACATCTTCTACACATCCAGCATAATAACGAATTGTTTTTTTGGTAGGGTATTTAACTATAACAAAATCTCCGATATCAATATCTAAATCTAATTCTTGTCCTCATCATTACAAAATATGTTTTCATCAATCGTATCCTCTGTTTCTGACTCTTCTGAGCTTGGTTTTTTCTTTTTGTATTTTTTTGTAAGTAATTTATCTTTTTTTTTGTTTTCCAAACACTTGTTTTGTAACTTTTTGTTTTTTATTTTGTTTTTTTTTTCTTTTAAAAATTTTCTTTCTTGTCTTTGTCTATACTCTTCCTTTATTTTATCTTTTACAGGAGTGTCTGTAAGTACTAGTGATTGTCCCTTCTTTCTTTTAGTAGTATTTTTGCTAGGTGCAGCTTTCAGATGGGGTCGAATGGTTTCAGGTGTTACTAATGTGGATGTTCTAGAACATGAAGGTCCAGCTATGGGTGATAAATCCGTAGGTATGAAATATACAGAAGTAATATCAACAGAATTAACTAAGTTTTCTAGAGGAAGATGACGTTCAAAATTATCATATTCGGTGGATGCCTCTTGGATAGTGTTTGCTTCGCATGTTAAAGTACTTCGAGATTTTGGGTTTAAAAAAGTGCTTGCTTCACATGCTAAAGTATTTTGAGAGTCGGGATTCAATAAAGTTACATCTTCAGGACGGTCTGTGACGTAGGACATCATGAAATCTTGATCTGTAAATACGTTTGAGTTAAGCGGGCAAATGCCAGTTTTCTCAAAACCTTTTAAAATATTTGTTGGGGTAAACGCAAGAGGAAATGCTTTACCAACAATTTCACTTATATTATACATTGTTAACGGTGTCCCCGGGTGATTAATCATCCATTCATCAGCTGATTTATTATAGTAAGACTTAAAGGGTCCAAAGCAAGACACATCCAAGGGCTGCATCCGGTGGCTGCAATGAGGTGGTAAGGTCAATAAAACTATGCCATTATCTTTTGCTTTTTGTAAAACATCCACTGCATAATGGCTTTCATGGTTGTCTAGTATAATCAATATTTTTTTTCTGGAGAGCAGTTAGTATGTTTAATATGATCCATACACTCTAAAAATGTATTTGAAGTCATCCAACCTGTAGGAAATGCCGAACCACTAGAACCAGGAGGAGCGTGTTGTAACATTTTTGGCAGAAATTTTTTTTTTGGAAAAACCATAAATGGGGGTATAAAAGTACCATTGCTGGATATTAAACAACATAAGGTTACTAATATACCTCGTTCTCCCGAAGTAATTTTTCTGACTTGTTTACAACCACTTTGAGCTAATATCTTTGGAGGCTTGTGCACAGTCATCACACCAGTCTCGTCTAAATTATAAATGTCACTTGAACAAAATTTATACTTTTGGAGAACATTTGTCAGATTTTTAAAAAATTCACTGACGTTGTGTTTGTTAAAGCTTGTCGCACGAGACAAGCTCATAGCTTCTGGTGTACGTAACTTTAACCGAAAATTTCGATGTCTAAAATTTTTCATCCACTCACCGACACCATTTCTATTCCAGGTGTCTGGTATAACTATTGAATTTGTTACGGCAAACGAATATGCCAAAATTCTAGTTTCTCTTTCAGTTAAGCCATAGCACATATAAGAGGCATCAAGTAAATACTGTACCAACATAGCTTCTCAAAATTGCAATAGTGCTAAGTTACTTGGAGTTATGTTAGATAGTAATTTAACTTGGAGAATTCATATAAATAAATTAAAACCTAAATTATGCAGTACCTTATATCTGTTGAGGCAGCTTAAAACTATAACAGATCGTAACATATTAAGAACGATATACTTTTCCCTATTCCATTCCCACATAAATTATGCCACTGCACTTTGGGGTAACAGTTCAGATGCAATTTTGATTTTTTGGCTGCAGAAGAAGGCTGTTAGAATCATAACTGGTTCCAAATTTAGAGAACATTGTCAGCCCTTGTTTATTCAGCAAGGAATAATGCCTCTACCAACGATTTATATATTTAGTGTCCTTTTGGAAATTCATAAGAAATTATCATGTCTTTCTAGGCAGTCCGACATTCACAAATATCCTACCAGACAAGCTAACAACTTAAGAATAAATAGATATCGTCTAAATAAATCAAAAAACAATTCCCTCGACCTTGGTCTTTATAATGTATTGCCATCCGAGTTTGGGCTGCTGGAGTTCAATTCATTTAAGAAAAAATTAAAAACATTTATGTTGACACATTGTTTTTATTCCGTAGAGGAATATATCGATCGGTGTAAACTTACATAGTTCTTAAACCTTCTACTCTATTTGTTTTCTCTTATTTTTTATGTATACTCACCTAACTTAATTTGAGTTATTTTATTCTACTTAACAATTATATGTATGTAGTTATTTCATTGTGTAGTTCTGTATTTTATGTTTAAAAATAAGCTGTTATTTTAATATGTACGTTTTGTGACTTGCTACAAACATATATTGTAATATGTAACGTAGTCAAATAAAATTTACTTTACTTTACTTTACTTCAGTAAATACTGATTTATACCTATGTTTTTGCACAAAACTATATTTAGCTTTTTCGTCATCTGAAAGAGTCTTATATTTTAAAATATTACGATGTAAAGCCGATTTTGACATCGAATGCGTTGCTGCTTCTCTCAAAGTGTTTTGTCCGCTTATCACTTGCAGCACTGCTTCCTTCATTTGATTTGCTCTTTCCAAGTGGAATATAGCACTATCTTCATAATGCTCTTTTAACTTTCCCCTTGGCCACTTAGGCATTGTTACAAAATCTGCAACAAAATGAAAAAAGTTTAACTAATTATTTATTACTTAACTAAGTAATAAATAATAACCTAAAAATTTATTTTTTCTCCTATGAAAAAGAGATTTTTATGTTTTAGATTTACTAAAACAGTTAAAAATCACTCGAAACCCCATATTTATTTTTGTTTATAAAAACCGTTAGCAAAACACTTAAAATTTGCATTATTTCTCAATATTTATATGTTTCCCAGTATATACCACATTTTGGGGTGTCCCGGTATGCACCATACATGAATTTCCCAGTATGAACCAGTTCATAAAATATTTATTGTCGCCGATTGTTTAAAATAGGCAACATAAAATACATTTATTGGCATAGTCGCTTACTGTCTAATGCCATAACCTCAAAACATATTAAATATAGTTTTAAAATTTTAATTAATAAAGGAGTTATAAACAAAACTGTTTGAATAGAATGTACAAATGTAATTCATTATCTTACCTTTTTACTAAAAATCTCAAATATATTTCTTAATACTTGTCAAAGATCACAATTTCCTAAGACACAAAATGCGAATAAACTTACGACACAACATAAGGTGGTTCGATACTTGAAAAGATTACTTACAACGTTGTCAGATTGATTGTCCCATTATGAACCATGTCCCAGTATAGACCACGCTCCCCTATACTATGCTGTCAAGTGTTATTAGGTAAAGTATCTACTTACAATATTACCTGATGCACTGTGACTCTAAGACGATAACAAGACTAACTGATGTGTTGTTATTTTTGAGCTGTTATTTGGAACACAACGGTTACAACTGTTAATCTAGTTCAAAAATAACAGGTGCAAAATAACGCCACAACACAAAACGGTTGGAAATTGCTTCCTCGCGAAATAACGTGTTGCAGTAGTTCGCGCCGCCGCACTTGCAATTAACTAACATGCGTTATTGTTATTTTAATAACGCTACTAGACTAGCAGTTATTTATTATTTTCTACCGTTGTCGTGTCGCATGCGTCGAGGGATGGTCGAATAGTCTGAGTCTGAGGCATGGGTATTGTTTATTGTTATTTTATTTTAAGAAGGTACATGGCGTTCACTATGTAGTTTCCTATTTCAACAGCGGCGTAGAAAGGAGTATTTAACAACTGTTAAATAAAACGATATCGTATTTTATGTATTTTGAATTGTAAATACTAAATTAAAATTTCAATACATACCAAAACAAAAATTCGTTAAAATTAGAGTCAAAGCAAAACAAAAATAAACTTCTTACGAAAAACTATAAAAAAAAATTAAAAATATCTTTGGATCAGTTTAGGATTAGGAAGATAATAGTTTTAAATTTTTGATTGCTTTGATTGCAACTCACAAACATAATTTGTTTAACTTTAGACGATGATAATCTGTTTCGACGATCGGAAATTAACTGCCCACTTTTTGAAAATGTCCTTTCACAAGGTATAGAAGTAGCTATTGTACCAAATTTTAATTTAACAAGTTTGCTAAGATGCGGGAAATTATAAGAATGTTCTTTCCGCCACTCTAACGGATTTTTTGACCGGTTTAAAAGGGGTTCTTCTAAATACCTTTGGATTTCGAGAATAGCGCGAGATCTTTTTGTTCTAGATGGAGTAAAATTAGACGCCTTTGCGTCAAATGTGCTCCATATTGATACGTTTTTACTTTCTGTATTTTGTGGTTGCGGCACACTTACACTTAATGAGGTATCGTTATCTTTGGTTTTTTGTTCAACTATTGGTGTTAAAGCATTAGTAGCTAAATTTTTGGCCTTTTCTACGAAGGATTCTGCTGAAAATCCAACAAGCTTAAAACGAGGATCCAAGAATGTACTTAATAAAAGCGTAGAACTTGATTCTAAATTTTTAAAACGAGTATCTATGCCAATTATAATATTCTGGAGAACACTTTCAGATAAAGGAGAAAAACTTTTTTTTGACATATCTTTGTACAAATCCCGTAAGCCATTCGTGATTATTATGACTGACGAAAGAGCCACATACTTTTCTGCACTCATGACAACTGTTGTTGACTCCATTGGTGCAAGTATCTCAATTAGTTCAGTCACATAATCAAACTCTTGATTGGAAAGCATCGGCCAGTCTTCCTTTCCGAGTGCAGCCAGGGATGCTCGTACTTCTTCCTTTAGTTCCGTTATTCTTCGAAACATGTAAAATACAGAGTTCCATCTTGTAACAACTGACTGAACCAATTTTTTTGGTTCCTTGCCATTCTGCTTCTGATAGAAGTCCAATTAATTTTTTTGCCACAGTACTGCGTTTAAAATGAGACAATATCTGATATCTTACAAGATTTTCAACCACTGTTAAGGCATCTTTAACAATGAGCTATACAGGGTAGATGTTTCCACTTCAACTCGTCAATTATGGCTTTTTTAATATTTGCCGCGTTATCAGACAACGTTAAAAAAAATTTTTTAAGCCCCACTCAGATACTACTCTGTTAAGGTCATCTGCTAAATTCCTACTAGTGTGGTTGAACTTGCATACACCGACCTCCAATAAAACTGATTTTATTTGAAAATTGTCTATAAAATGTGCAGTCACTGAGATAAACGAGTCATTCATTATTGATAGAGGTCCAGCCGTCAGTAGTTATTGAAACTGATTTTGCACTTTTTAAAACTTCCGTGACTTTGATTTTGTGTTCCTTATATTTTGCGGGCAACAGTATTTGATAATGTTTTACGACTGGGTAAATTATACGACGAATTCAGAGCATATGTATATTCTTTAAAAGATTCATCTTCAACTACAGAAAATGGTTGTAAATCCACCGTAATTAATTTTAAAAGTTTATCATCAATAACTTTTTTTTTGTGAAAACCCAATTTTTTTTGGTACCCTTAGATGTGTCTGGTATAGTTTGCGCATGCCTTTTCTTTGTGTTGAATGGCCTGTATCTGGAGAAACGTTGCTTTGATGTTGTTCGTATATTGATGACGGAGTATCAGCTAGATTTTCTGGCGGTTGCAGTATGGATGGTGTGGAATCAATCAAAGTAGATGGGATAACTGCTGTTCCTGAGGTACTTCTCTCGGAGCTTTCTTCTACTAATTTGACTAACGGATGTTTTCTCTGAATATGCTGTTTCAGGTTACTAATTGACGATTTGTACGACAAACTTTGTTTACATAAATTACAAGTTGCTTTAATTTCATTTTGAGGAGTAAAGAAATTCCAAAGAACTGATTTTTTTCCTTTTACATAAGTAGCCATTGCATTTATATTTAATGCTACAAAAATTGTTTATTGTAAGTAAAGCAAAAAACTTAAGATAATAATTATAACTTACCTTTACTCTTTACAAATAAAAAAATTATTACACAAAAATGTCCTTTTGCCCGCCCACGACGGTTGCACTGCCGTTTTCAAACTATATAAAACAAATTCCGTGCCGTACCGTCCTTCTGACTCTATTCCGAAACTGCTGAAGTTTGAAGTTGCTGGGTGAAAAAAACGGTCGGTGCGCATGACTATTTGGACGCCAGACTGTCGATTTCGAGTATTCTACGTCACGTTTCCAACGGGCGTACTATAATAAGTTATATATTTTTTTTATTAATAACGTGCTGTTTTAATAATTATTATTATTGGAACATTTGTTTCAGCTGCGTATTAATCAAAAATCATTTTTAAGTGTTTTTCTTAAATTAAAAGGTGTCGTAGTTGAATGTAATAAGTATTAAATTTAATTTTGATGTTCCTTTTTAGTGCATTTCGATACGCACGTGTGAACGCCAGAGTGTCAAATATCACCTCGCTATTTGGCTTGATTTTGTTGATGGCTTTATTCTTCCAGTTTAATACATATGTCGCGTTCAGTGGCCAGAACAGTTAAATATCAAAGAGTAAATAATTATAAATATAAAAGAAGAAATTTCTCGGGTCAGTGTTTAAGTAAGAAAAAGGCCATGTAATATTTGTAAAACCTAGATAAATTAAATAATGTATACATTAAAAAAAACTTATAACACATCAACTAATCAACTGCTTCATTCTCATTTACCATTCAAAAATTCCTTGTAAAAATTCTAAGCACAAGGGCAAAAAATTCTCGTTTTGGGTCAGATTCGAATTTACTATTCGGGAATGGTTATGCAACCAATCCCAAGAAAAATAACACATAACTCACAGGTTCGGAAATAGTTATAGTGAAACCAAAACAGCGAATGCGCATGCTTTAAAGGTTCTGGAACAGTTACGAACGTGAAACAAAACAAAGTTATTACTAAAATATTATTTTAAGCTGTTTAAAAATAACAGTAACAGTTGTAACTAGTAAATAAAAATAACGTTTTTTCTCATCACTATACAATAGCAGGTACTGTTATGCATAGAACCGTTCCCCACCTACTCGCTTATAGTCCAGTAAACGAAGATATCAACCTGGGCGACTGGTCCGGCCGCAACCATTTTTTTTTTAATTTGCAGGTATTCAGGTGTATATTGAATTCCCGAAATCGCAGCCACTTTGAATTTGTGGAACAGTGGGAAAATGGCTCTGGAGTTCCTGAAAATCCGTTTTTCGACGATATCTGCCGTTTAACTGCCGAAACATGACCCTTAGGGCATTTTTGTTCGGACAAAAAATGAAGAGCAGTTAAAACCCACAAAAATGATCCTTATCATTTTCGTCAACAGTTTGATAGTTTTCGAGATAATTAACCCTGAACGCAGCCTCCATTTTTAGCTCCTGCGCGGCATCTAGAGAACACGCTTTGAGTGAATGACGCCCCCAGAAAATTACAAAATTTTCAATAACTCGCGTAAAAATTAACGGAAACGAACTACCCCCAGAAGAGTGGGGGTGGAAACGTGCAGGGGATGTACTAGCACCGGTCCACACGACTGACCAGCCAGCGCATCCGGATCTGCTGAAAATGATTTCCTGTCAGTGCAAGAATGGCTGTAAGCCTCCATGTTCATGTCTAAAAGCGGGGCTAAAGTGCTCGATTATTTGTGGTTCATGTCATTCAGGCCCATGTACAAATTATAAAGATATGCTATGCGAACAAGAAGAGGTGGAAGAGATAATTCCAGGGGAAGGGCAGGAGGCAGTAGTGGAAGAGATAAGTCCAGGGGAAGGGCAGGAGGCAGTGGTGGAAGAGGAAGGAATAGAGCGAGGGGAAAGAATTGTTGATGTAATACAACAAGAGGCAACTGATGTTGCCAACCAGCAAGATATATGCGAGGAAGAGGTGAGCGATTGGTGATTAACTGAGATATAATTCTCCATATATGTTTAATTATTCATATATTTTCATAATAAATGTTCATAATAAATGGTATTTTCAAAAACTTGTGAATTATAAATTATTGCGAAAAATTGCGAAAATTCCGACAAATAGTTCAATTCCTTGTCGAGGATCATTCCGAATGTTTCAATCTCTCCATAAATTAGTAAACCCTGGAGACTCGTAGATTTCACCACATGATAAAATTTATACCCAACATTAGCCTCTATTTTCGGTCCCATTCGCATGTAATCATTCTCAGGATTTGGCTACCCAATCAAAGTAGGCCAAAGGCTCACTTTTAGGGACAGTAATAACAGTTATGATCCCGAGAGTTATTAAAAAATCGATCGTTCCCATGGCTCCACTTCATGGCCGTAATTATTTCGTGACTGCGAAAAAGCACGGTGGCGCCCTCTACTATTGGTGCTTAGAGGCCTAAACATAGAAATTAGTCTCTTTGCAGGCCCTTGACCCCAGATTTTGATAAGGAAACGTCGGATTTCAACTTTCTGAAAAAGGTAAATTTTTGACCCGCTGTTTTTGCAAAAAATATTGGCGTAGCGAAAAAAATCCATAGGGACACCTTTTATAGGTAATGAACTGCTCTTCATCTTTTGTCTGAACAAAAATGCTCTAAAGGTCATATTTCGGCAGATATCGTCGAAAAACGGATTTTCGGGAACTCCAGAGCCATTTTCCCCCTGTTCCACAAATTCCAGGTGGTTGCGATTTTGAGAATTTGATATACACCCGAATACCTGCAAATTAAAAAAAAAATGGTTGCGGCCGGACCAGTTGCCCAGGTTGATATGGTTTTTGGCCTTCATTTACTGGACTATTAGCAGTTTAGAACGCGCGGTAAATTCCGATAGGTAACCAAACTCGGTCCATCTAAAGCGGCCTACAGACGGACCGATCAATTGTACAATATATCGTACTACAAGTTGAGAATAAAATCGTTTAGTTCTGTCGCATCGCTGTTTTCTCTCCCAACGTAAATATCTGTAGTTCGACAGGCAGTAAAACAGATTGGTAAACTCATTTGCATTTGTCATCAAGAAAAAGGAAAGGTGTCGTTCTTGCAATAGTGCGGATGGTAGATGAAAAAGAAAAAGAAACAAAGAAAAGAAAAAAGTGGTGCAAAAATTGGTTTTTGGATAGAAATCTGTACTCTCATATGAGATTACGTCGAGAGTTGCGTGATTATGAACCTGCTGATTTTAAAAATTATTTAAGAATGGACAGTGAAACATACAACACTTTACTGAATTTAGTAAAAAACAGAATTACGAAGCAAAATACATTAATAAGGGATTCAATCACTGCAGAGGAGAGGTTAACCGTCACCCTAAGATATTTGGCATCAGGTAACTCATATGAAGATCTAAAATTTTGTTCCGGAATTTCACCCCAGTCCCTAAGTCGAATAATTCCTGAAACCTGCCTGGCTGTATATGAGGCTTTACAAAAGGAATACTTACTGGTAAGCAATAAGAATACCTAACATTTACTAGAATAACTTTATTTGTAAAATTAACATAAATGTCGCTCGCACATTAAAAAAACTAGAAACTAACCACATAACTAAATGAAATGTTATGGTATGTAACCAGAAAAAAACTTAGTTAAACTGTAGGTAGGGTGACAAATCTGTTCGTATTTCTGGGTTTTGGAGCTGTTGCCCATTTCTGTGTGTAGGTTCATGGTCTGGAGAAAATGGGTGTATCGGACGAAATGTAATATTGTAGCTGTCATATGAATAATGTAGTCTTTTACTCGGTAAGCTTATCGAGGCATCTTCTGGTAGGTTGCCCATTCGCCCATGAAACATTACGTCTGATACCAATTTTTCGGCTATCAATCTTTGACGCTCGTTCATTCCTCTTAGCTGACAAGCTATTCGTTTCCATGTGATATCAAATTCGTCGTCATCTCCACCTGATAACGTTTTATGGGCTAAATCCATTAAAGCTACTTTTTTCTTTTCCAAAACACTTTTTCCTGACTTTCTAGGTTTTTGCGATACTGAACTAGAAGATGTATAACTTTGAGAAGTAGACCTGTTTGTTTGTGGTATAACCAAAAGATCTTGTTCCTGTGGGCTAGAGCCTTCTAAGCAACTAGGTGGCGTTTTAGGCAAAAAAACTGACGTATCCTGGCTCTCCTCTGCATTATCCTGCAATACAAGGACGGCATTAGATTAGGAGCCTACTGGCGATAATCTTTCTAATTATAAATAATAAAATAAGCGGACAAAAATCCACTGATAGATTCTTGCCAAAAATAAAACAAAAAACTTCTATGAATATGGCTTCAAAAATGCTTCGTTTCGGAGATACAGGGTGTTAAAGATGACCTCCTGAACATGGACTTTAATTAATATTTCCAAAGCGCTTGCAGACAAAAAATGAGAATTTAGGATTACTTATTTTTTATGCTTTATAATACGGAATAATAGTAGCGTAAAAAGTAATTGAGGAAACGTTTATTTGTTCATTTGCAAGTGTATCAGCAATAATATTTACCTAAAAATAATCATCCAGAGGACGTCTTAACACCTTGTATCTCCGAAATGATGCATATTGGATCCTTGTTTTTTTCTTATTTTTTGACAAATGAAGCTGGAAGCTGATGACAAAGTTTTATCCACTAATATTGGGATACCCTGTAAATTGCTAAACACTGGTTTTTTACAGGTCCCTTCAACAGAAGAACAATGGAAACAGGTTGCAAAGGGTTTCCGAGATTTATGGCAATTTGGAAACTGTCTAGAAGCATTGGACGGCAAGCACATCCTTATAAGAAAACCAGGAAATAGTGGATCATATTATTATAACTATAAGGGCACATACAGTGTAGTATTATTTGCCATAGTAAATGCAAATTATGAATTCATATACGTTCATACTGGTACAAATGGCCGTGTATCTGATGGTGGAATACGGAACGAAACCAGTATTTACCAGCGGCTAATGTCAAAGAAATTGCGAATACCTAATCCTACAGAACTGTCTGGTACCAACGAACGCGTGCCGTATGTTTTCATCGGAGATGAAGATTTTCCCTTGATGGAAAATCTAATAACGCCTTTTTCGCAAAAACACATAAATCACGATGAAAAAATTTTCAATTACCGTTTTAGCAGGGTTGTGGAAAATGCCTTTGGAATGCTGTCAAGTCGATTTCGCAAATTTTTACACCCTATTGCTATAAGCGTGGAACGAATAGTCATCGTAGCATTAGCATCTTGTGCTTTACATAACTTTTTAAGAAAAGTGTCAACAGCAGGTTATATAACGGAGCAACATATTGACCGTGAAGACTTCAATACTGGTACTATTGTACCCGGGGAATGGCGTCAAATTGGAGGTATGCAAAATTTAGAAAGATCCAGTCACAAATGCCAACCTATTAGCCAAAAACGTGAGAAAAGCTTATGAACAATTCTACAATGGTCCAGGACGGACAACATTTCAGGAGCGAATGATACAGTAACAATAAAATAGCAATATAAATATTAACTTTCATAAATTAATAATAAACATAAAATTATACCCACATCGACTGTAATTGCTCCATATTGTTATGTTCACTTCCATTAACATTTGATATACCTTTCCGTCCTCTTTCACTTTGAGATGTAAAAAGCAAAAGATCAAAATACCACAGACTTGATTCACAAATATCATCGGTTCCAGTACCCGTTCCCATATAATCCTGGACCTGAAAAAATAATAAAGCAAAAATCAGTACTTTCTTGTATATGATCGTGATCTAGGCAACAATTTAGGAGACACATATTTCCCAATGTTTCATAGAAAAGCACTGATTTTTGAGACGTTCTATAGGTAGATACCCACAAAAATAACTGTAAAACACTCCAATCGTGGGGTTAAATGGGTGACTTCAGTGGAAACCTACGAGCATATAATACACTATTACTTACCTTTTTCAGTTCACGTCTAAATGCTGTTCGCTTATTATTAATTTTTTTTTTCAGAATGTCCAGTGTAGCATTTTCATTCATTTCTTGCAGTTTTTTTAAAAGAATTTCATAGCTTCCGTTCCGTTTTATTTTATTGGAGTAATATTTTGATTTGACATCCCATAAACACTTGTTCTCTATATATTCCTATAAATTCTTCCCAAAACACTTTATTTTGAGAGTCCATACTGATTTATTATGACAGGACAAAGTGACATCCCACTAAATTGGTTTCAAAACTCTCTCCAACCGGTCGTAGCAACATCTACATGTTACAACTTGTCGTACGATAAGCTGGTAGTTCGACAGATTTTATGGAAGGTTCATACTGCGAAACGATTCGATCGCGACGAACTGCAGGTTGTACTACAACACTATTAACCTTGCAACTGTCGTTCAAACTATCGAGTCAAATGCGGTCGTACAACATATTGTACAATTGATCGTTCCGTCTGTAGGCCGCTTTAGCAATGGAGTGCTCGAAAACATTATCACACCTTGTACACGTGATCTCTCTGACGAGGCTGCTTTTACAGAGTCACACTAAGGGACGATCGAGGTTTTATTAATTTTATTAAATAATATGGGACTAGGTATGGAAAAATTATTCAAATTTTAACTAATGAAGAAAAATAAATTCAGTTTTGTGTATTTAACATTTAATGAACTACAAAAAAATGTGGACATTTTATTTCAGCAGGACAAACAGGTAAACATTTTTCAACTCCAAAATGATGTTTATTTAATAATAGCGTATAAATAATAAAAACATAATTAATCCTTTTGTCATTTTAGACCGGTTACTCAGTATCTGAAGAACTGCTACTAGAAGAATCATCATTTAGATTAATTCTCAACTGATTTCTATCAACTAATTCATCCATTAGATGGTCTAATTCTAACATTTTCACTTCTATCTTATCTTTTATATGTCCTACGCAATTATTCCATTTTTGCGCGGTAATAGACAAAAACAAAAATAATTTTAAGATAGCAAAATTTAAAAGTAATATTTTTTTTGGCAACAGTGTTTTATGTCCGCCCAAATAAGCTCTATTGGGTTGAGCTCGCAGTGATAAGGGAGAAGACTTAATACTATTCTATTATGTGATTTAGCAATTTCGTTGACATCGTATTTATTATATTTGGTTTTATGTTCATTCACTATCTTCAAAAGTTCTGCTTTTACCATGTTATCCTCGAATGGTATACTTTTCAAACGCAACCAGTTTTGGATTAGGGCTTTTTTTGTAGCTGTAGTAGGAATTTTTTCAGCTTTTCTAGAATGATAAGGGGCGTTGTGTAAAACGATTACACAATTCTCTTCTAGGTTCGGAACTGTGTTACTAAACCAATTCTTAAACGATTTGCCGTCCATCTCCTCATGATAGTCGCCCGTTTTCTTCGACTCAAAGACCCACAAGGCGTCGGGGACAAAACCGGTTTCGCTTCCAATGTGACATACTATCAACCTTTTTTCTTTTCCTACAAGGAGATTTATTTTGTTTTAGTTGATACAGAAAAATATACTGCCTATTTCATTTTTGGTAGATTTTATATTAATACTTTAATCCGTTCGCAAGTTATTTTGTTCACAGACACACACAGTTTGTTGAGAGTACAATAAGGTGATTCTTACCTGAAGGGTTCTTCAACCCAGTTGAGAGGCCATCTAAAAATGCTTGCCTTGAAGAAGTTATGGATTCATCAACCCAAATGTTTGACTTAGTATGGCCTGCGTTTACCCAAGTTTCGTCCAGGTAATAATTTTTCCTATTCTCTCTTCTATAGGCCCTTATTTTCATTAAATACTGACGTCTCCGCAATACTATTTCTGGTTTCTCGAGCAACAAACTATTTCTTCCTCTTTTATTAAATTTAAAACCTAATTTTTTCAATAACTTGTGGAATGTCGACCTTCTGAAACTTGGTAGATCCGTATCATCATTTACAACTTTTAGAACTGAATCTATTGTTGGCATTTCGTTTCGGAAAAAAATTTATGTACCTTCCTTCTAATAGCATTTAAATCAAAATCATCTACCATATCAATAATTTTCTTTCGGAAGGGGTATGGTTTTGGAGCCGAAAAAGAATGATTTTGTTTATATTCTCTCATAACTGCATAGACACTTGAAGGAGACACTCCAGCAATGTTTCCTACTTTTCTTACGATTTCATCCACTGACAATAAAGGATTTGCTTCAATTTGATTTTTGTAAATGTTCATAATTACATTTTTTTCATTAATACTAAAATGCAGTTTTTTTGGTCTTTTTTTAGGTGGACTGTGGAAACACAAATTAGCAGTTTCTTCAGCCGTATCAGTATCTGACATTTTAAAAATTTAAATCTTTAAAATACCATATATGTACACTAAAAACACCACAGATCGTTAAAACGTAACTGGCCATTCCTACCCTGTAGCGATGTACCAAAAGTAATGAATTTCGCTGGCCGATTGCAGTTAAATCTGATTGGCCAGCGTAACTGATCTTTCACATGATCCGGCATGCGCCGTGCGGCGCCCGCCGCGCGGTGCACGCCTTGAGAAGCGTGATGTTTTCACACGAGGTCGGTTTCGTCCATAGCACGCCGCGCGGCGCTTCCGTATTTTGACTTTTCCAGTTGAGGCTCAGCTATTGAAATGTTAATACCGCGGAAAAAGAAAGTGCTAACTATGTACTTACTATGGAGACAGCGAAGCAGAAAAAGAAGAAATAGGCGGTTTTGGATTCACCCATTGCTTCAAAATCGACATACTTCTGGGTCCTTTAACGTGTTATTCAATTCATTGCGGAACAGTGAGGAAAGATTCTTTGCGTACTTTCGCATGTCAATCAAATCATTTGATGAAATTTATGACAAACTGAAAGACAAGCTGCAAAAACAAGATACAAACATGAGAAACTCCATCCAACCTATGGAAATGCTTACCGTTACACTAAGGTAAGTTTATAAATGTATTTAGTAATTTGTAGTATTTGAAAATGGGTTGTAATATGTAATTTAAGGTTTAACAAAAACATTAAAAATATATACATGGACAACATTTTTATTGTTAAGAAATATACAAAAGTGTAATACTGCTATATAAGAAATTGATATTTTTACTTTGATAAAATATTCCAATCATTTGAATCTCCCTCGAAATCCAAGGACAAGACACTTGATGCTGGTGTAGCTGTAGCACGATGCGGGGTTGGTGTCCGTGGTGGTGGCGTTGGCTGCTGGATGCTTGCTTCTAGACTGGTTTGTCGGTTAATTGTATAGTAATCTTCACTGCTGGTTGAGATATGAGGGTGAATCGGACGAATGTATGGGTTGTTGTAGGACTGGTTTGAAAATTGCAGAGGAAACTGTGGGTGTTGTTGAGGATAATACATATTTGGAGGCTGACTCGCGGGATGTGGGTAGTGGACTTGTTGGTACTGCGTAGTAGGGACTTGGCTGGTTCCTTGACCCTGTCCTTGGGCCTTGACGTTTTTTAAAACTCCGAGAACGCCGAGCTGAAATTCTACAAACTAGTCACTAGTAAAGGTTTTTAATGTTGGAACCATACTTCTGAAGAAGCCACAGTAAGTTTCTTCTTCGTCATATGGGTTTTCTATGACTTTCATCATCTTCAGTTCGAAATCGTCTTCGTTTCTCTTCCTTTTTCTTGTTACCTTTGGTTTGTTCGGCTGCGCTGGAATACGAGTTCCAGGATCGTCAATTATTTCTTCCGTTGGTGATACAGGATTATTGCCTTCGGGTACGTTGATGGATGACTCTGTATTATGTTGGTGTGCTATTTTCTTCAAAAATTGAAGTTGGTCGTGATATATGTATTTTTTTATTTTACTAGCTCCAGCTCCTAATTTTTTTGAGTCCTTATCTTTTCGAATATGCTTCATCCACCTGTCCCTTACATTTCGCCATTTCTTGAGCAAGGTGTCCCCTGAAATAAAAACCCGCATTAATTATTTGATTATTTAATATAAAACGTGTGAACTTAAAAGATGCGTTACATAAATTAATTTGTCCTGAGGGAGGGACCGGTTCTGAAACTCGAACAAAGGCAGTTATAACATATATTGTTGTTTGTTCCAGGTACCTGGCTTCTGGCAACATGTTTACTGATCTACACTTTTACTACAAGCTTGGAATCTCTACAATAAGTAAAATTGTAGAACACGTATGCGGCAGTATATGGGACGTCTTACGATCTGAGTGTTTTCCGGAGCTGACGGCAGAGAATTTAAGAAAAATATCAGAAGAATTTTTGAATAAAACACAATTTCCCCATTGCGTTGGGGCTGTGGACGGAAAATATATCAGAGTTGTCAAGCCTGAACATAGTGGTTCTTTGTATTTCAATTACAAAGGTTATTTTTCTTTTGTGCTAATGGCCGTGTTCGATGCAAATTATCGTTTTACCTTTGTTGACATTGGGGCTTACGGATCAGAAGGAGATCCTCAGTTTTCCAGAAATCAAATCTATGGAAAAACATTCAGGATCAAGCAATAGAATTTACTAAATCTGAGCCTCTCCAAGGGAGTGAATCACCTAATATGCCTTATTTCTTCCTAGGAGACGAAGCGTTCCCCTTAAGTACTAAGCTTATGCGTTCTTTTTGCAGGCCACAACTTAACTGTTGAGAAGAGAGTTTTCAACTATAGGTTGAGTAGAGGTAGAAGATTGATTGAATGCACCTTTGGCATCATGAGCAATAAGTGGCGGATCTTCCATCGACCTATGAATGTAAACATAGATTTAGCTGTAAAGATAACCAAAGCCTGTGTAATTCTACACAACTTTGTTAGAGCGAGGGATGGAAATAGGTTAGAAGATGCATCTACTATTGTTGGATGGGAAGATTTGCCAGTACATACCAATCAAGGAACTAATAACCAATCATTGCGAGGTGGGATCAAGTCTATCCAGGTGAGGAATGTTTTGGCTAAGTACTTCATGGCAAACGTTGGATCAGTATCATGGCAGTTAAAAAAAATCTAAATAACACTATTTACAGTTATGTTATTTAGGCTAATAGCTTTATATGTAGTTAAGTAAAAAATTGTATTAAAAATGTATAACAACATTGTCAGTGTCCTAAAATTTGCAGTAAAAATCTTTCTTGAAATGTATTAGTGTTTCATACTTCTGCACCTTTTCCCTTCCAATTTTAAATTTTTATACTTTTCAGTTTTTTTCGTTGCTAGTTTTCCCACAGGCCTCCTTTTAACTTTTTAATAGTTATATTTTTTTTTTATTTACTCCGTAC